GGCCGTGGCGGGCGCCGAGGGGAGCGGGCGGGAGTCCGCAGCGGGAAGCCTGGGGGCCTCCCTGCATCCTTAGCTCCGGAGGAATCGCGCTCTGATTTCTTTTTTCCCATTCAGAAAGGGGGCGAAAGCAAAAAGCCGGCACTTTCCAGAGGGGCCTCCGGTCTGTGCTGGGGCCTGCAGTCCAAAAAGGCTGAGAGCCCCCCGCCTGGTGGTCCGGGGCAGGCTTGCGTGGCTGCTTTTCGGACACCGTGGCGGGATGAGCCAGTTCTTCCTTTCAGTTCCCAGTTTGCTGTGGGCGGGAGTTAAGGGCGACAAACTGGGCTGTCTTATGGCCGTCAAAAGTGGGGAAGGCAGAACATGCCCGTGCTGAGTGTCTCCTAGGTGTCCCCGTCCCACCTTGTTACAGAGTGATCCCAGGTATATTAAAATGAGCATCTAGCAGACTTATCCAGTGCCGTTTTCCCAAACCACTGCCAGCCCCCTGGGAGCGCACCCCCACGCGTGCTCTGTGGGACTTGAGCTTTGCTTGTCCATAACTAGAAGGATTGCAAGTGGCTCCGTTCTTCCCATGCCAACAGGGGCAGGTTAACGTAGGTTTCTCGGTGTCTGGACAAGCTGGGACGGTGACTGTCAAACAGAACGTGAAGGTGCCGCATGGCGCTGGGCTCAGCGTACCGAGCTGGGCGGTTGATAGGGACTGAAAACGGCGGAGTGAGCTTAGCCCTTCTGGGAGTGTGATGGCCGTTGTCATGACTGACAGCTGGGGCTGAACCAGGGACCTGTACCAGAAGCACTAGCTTCTAAAGAGCCAACACGCTCTAGCTCGGGCTGTAGCAAACTCATTCCTTGTAGACCTGTCACAGAGTTCAACCTGTAACATAAAATAAACAGCAGAAATCCCAAGGCAGCCTGATGCTCTTTTAGAGGCTTAAATGTTGGTGACTCCATCTGTGCAGCTCCTACTAGTCAGATCACGCTCGACTTTGAGATAGTAAACCAATACATGAAATCTTGTGGTGTTTATAATTTGAAACTGTAGTTGTTTCTCAGCCTTTTGGGCTTGGGATCTAGTGAAAGGTATGAAAGCAGCTTATCTGTGGGCTTTCCCATATTGTGTGTCTGAGGCATTTAAACCTTGTTCATCACTGTGGCATTCAAACACCCTAGGATCAGTTACAGTAGCAAGCCAGGCAATTAGCTTGTTTCCCTTGATCCATAATTAGCAGCAGAGAGAACCTAGTTGATAGTTATTCACCCTTGAAGTGGAAAGGATTAGAAATGCAAACTGGTCATCCACCAAGATAATTATCATAGAGTAAATAAGAGGAGGGCCTAAGGGGATCTCTGGAGAGCTGGTGGCAAAGGTGCTGATTTTAAAACAAGACCTTGGTGAAATTTGTGGCTAAAAGGAATTGTTAGTCTGTTTGATGTATTTTATGCTACTCAAAGACGTCAGGACAATAACAACTGTTGGGACAATTTTCATGAGGAAAACAGAGGTTTGGAGGTTTGGTGAAAACCAAAACTTTTTTTAGCTAAATATGTTGATGTTTATGACTTGCAAACTTGGAAAGCATTTAAAGTGGCTAAAACATGACTTTCCATAGTCTTACCTTGCTGTAATTAAATAGAAGGATAAGAGGAACATTTTCTTAAGTTTTGGTACCTCTTCACTTTTTTCTAGGGGAGGGAACAGGAGAAAAGGAGAAAAAAATAAATGGGACTGTTGGAGACAAAAAAGGGAAAACACCTGAAAATTTTAGAGTCTATTTTAATTTAAAATCAAAATAAATGCATTTAAAATTGTTATTACTTGCTAGGCATTTTTCTGTGAAAAATGTATGGGGCAAAGAGCCCATTATTAGCCAACTGTAATAGATTTCTTTTCACTTTTCTATAAGTATTATTTTGAAATATAAAATCATAACTTCTAGTCTGAGTTGCTAGGTTCAGAGAGAGATCTCATGACACGTGAACTTGAGACAGTGAATTTGTTGATCTATTACCTAAGTTACTTAAAACTGGTTGGGCAAATAATTGGAAAAGATACCTTCAGGGAAAATCTTCAAAAGCTGGGGACAAGCCAAATTAATTAATAAGCATTTTCCCTCTGTAATTTCTGTAATCCTAATATAATTTAATGATATGTGGGCTTTTATTATTAATTTATTCTCTGAGGGCTAGTCATGATTTGTCAGATATGCAAATAATTGTGTGATTACTGGCAGACACCTTGTCTCTATTGTATGTGCAGCATTATACAGGTATAGTCTCCCAGATGAACCCTCTTATTCCACTACAGGAGTGGCTTTTTGTTTTAGTTTAAAACCTTTACTGAACAGCATAAATTAAACTGAAAAATGGCTCAAACTAATATAACTGGGCAGCAGAACCTTGACATATTAATTAGGTTGCTAACCTCCTGTGAAGCTGAGTGTTTGTGAAGCATCTAGGAGTACACAGAGACATCACAAACAGCTATGGGGACTGCTGCAGTGGTCCAAGCTGCGCCCTTTTGGTGTAAAAGCTTCAGCAAAGAGTGGAGCATACGTTCCAGGTTGCAAAACACTCAGATACGATCTAAGTTCTACACTGCCTCGTACAATCTCACTTTCAATCATTTTTTTTAAATTACAAAATGTAAGCATGACCTAACCTGTGGCATACCAGAACTTGTGAACATAAAATAAAAAGGCAGGACTTTTTTAGTGGTGACACCAGAGGTCCGGGAGTCGGGACTCCTGTGTTCTATTTCTGTCTTTGCCATGGAGTTGTTGTGTGGCCACAAGCAAAAAAAATAAAAATTCTCTGCATCAGGTTCCCCATCTCTAATATGGAAATAATAGTACTTTCCTGCATCACAGGGGCCTTCAGCAGTATTGTTTATAAAATGGTTTGAATTACTGGGGTGCAGGGCAGTATGACCCTATAGAGGATTATTATGAAATACTAATGAGATTTGTACTGACTAAAGACAAGTCTGCATACTCATTTTGAAAAGAATACCTGGTATTAATCTTAAATCATATCTTTTGACTAACTCCTAGGACACAGTCCTGGTCGCTTATGAAAATGAATCTGAAAAGAAAAAAAAAAGCCTGTATGTGCTGAGTCTAATAGAATGTGTAGAAAAATGTACTAACTTACTTACTTCCTCTTCAAAGGTCACTGCTGCATGCTATATGCAGTGGATGAAACTGAGTAACTTCATTTTATCTCTCAGTAAAATTCTTTCAGACCAAAAAACAGCCCTGATCCAAAGCCCACAGAAGACAACAGAGTCCCATTAACTTCTAAATAAGCTTTGCATTAGACCTATAACAACCAACTTTGGGGTTACAAAATCTATTGCAGTTTCTCAAATGTTTCATAGATGTCCAG